AAAAAAGGGGCTAAACCCCTTGCAGACGGCGGCAGCTGCTGCTGCGGTCACTCTAGAGGATCCCTTTGATGAAGTATGAGTTTGGTTAGTGCGTTTTTGTCGGGTGTTACTTTGTATAGTAATTATTGTGTAATTCAGTGTATGTTTTCGATGTAGTGCGTGTTTTATTTGGCATTGTGTGTTTTTGGTGTAGTGTGTTTTGTTTCGAAGTGAGTGTTTACGGTGTGTAGTGCGTGTTTTTTATCAGTGTGGTTTTGATGTACTGCGTGATTTTATTTCTAGATAGTGTTTTCCAGTGTATTTGTTGTGTAATTCAATGTGTGTTTTAGATGTTGTGCGTATTTTATTTTTAATGTGTGTTTTTTGTGCAGTATGTATTTTTTTCAGTGTGTGTTTTTGGTGCGTTGCGTGTTTTTTTTCAGTATGTGTTTTTGATGTACTGCGTGGAATTTTTTCCAGTATTTGCTATCCAGTGTAGTTCTTGAGTAATTCAAAGCGAAAAAAAACCGCAGACTACACCAAAAACACGCACTTCAAAAAAGCACGCACAACACCAAAACCTACATTGAATAAAATTCACTACACCGTGAAACACACACTTGAAATTCAGTGTACTTCTTGTGTAAAACACAGACTACATAAAAAACGCACACTCAATTACAAAAGAAGTACACTCAATTTCTAGTGTACTGAGGGTTTTTTTGAAGTATGAGTTTTTGGATTATTGCGTGGTTTTTTTTCGGGTGTTTCTTTTTTATTGTACTTATTGTGTAATTCAGTGTATGTTTTCGATGTAGTGCATTTTTTATTTTTCATTGAGTGTTTTTGGCATAGTGTGTTTTGTTTCTAAGTGAATGTTTACGGTGTGTAGTGCGTGTTTTTTGTCAGTGTGGTTTTGATGTACTGCGTGATTGTTTTTCATTGTGAGTTTTCCAGTGTATTTATTGTGTAGTTCAATGTAGTGTGTATTTTATTTTGCAATAAGTGTTTTTGGTGCGGTGTGTATTTTTTCCAGTGTGTGTTTTTGGTGTGGTGCATGTTTTTTTTCAGTATGTGTTTTTGATGTACTGCGTGGATTTTCTTCCAGTACGTGTTTACAGTGTAGTTCTTGAGTAATTCAAAGCGAAAAAAAACCACACACTTTACCTAAAACACGCACTTCAAAAAAGCATGCACTACACCAAAACACACAGTGAATAAAATACACTACATCGTGAAACACACACTGGAAATTCAGTTTACTTCTTGTGTAAAACACAGACTACATAAAAAACGCACACTCAATTACACAAGAAGTACACTAAATTTCCTGTGTGTGTTTCACGGTGTAGTGCATTTTATTCAATGTGTGTTTTGATGTAGTGCGTGTTTTTTTTTAAGTGTGAGTTTTTGGTTTAGTGTGTGGTTTTTTTTTGGGTGTTTATTTTCTATTGTAATTATTGTGTAATTCAGTATATGTTTTTGATGTATTGCATGTTTTATTATTCATTGTGTGTTTTTGGTGTAGTGTGTTTCTTTTCTAAGTGAGTGTTTACGGTGTAGTGCGTGTTTTTTTTCCAGTGTGTGTTTTATGATGTACTGCTTGATTTTTTTTTCCAGTGAGTGTTTTCCAGTGAAATTTGTTGTGTAATTCTATGTGTGGTTTCGATATAGTGTGTATTTTATTTTTCAATGTGTGTTTTTGGTGCATTGTGTATTTTTTTCCCAGTGTGTGTTTTTGGTGTGGTGCATGTTTTTTTTCAGTATGTGTTTTTGATGTACTACGTCGATTTTTTTTCTAGTATGTGTTTTCCGATGTAGTTGTTGAGTAATTCAAAGCGAAAAAAACCACACACTAGACCAAAAACACGCACTTCAAAAAAACACGCACGACTCCAAAACACACATTGAATAAAATGCACTACACCGTGAAACAAACACTGGAAATTCAGTGTACTTCTTCTGTAAAACACATACTACATAAAAAACGCACACTCAATTACACAAGAAGTACACTCAATTTTCAATGTGTGTTTCACGGTGTCGTGCATTTTATTCAATGTTTGTTTTGGTGTAGTTCGTGTTTTTTTAAGTGTGAGTTTTTGGTTTAGTGCGTGGTTTTTTTTCGAGTGTCTATTTTCTATTGTAAGTATTGTGTAATTCAGTGTACCTTTTCGATGTAGTGCGTGTTTTATTATTCTTTGTGTGTTTTTGGTGTAGTGTGTTTCTTTTGTAAGTGAGTGTTTACGGTGTAGTGCGTGTTTTTATTCAGTGTTTGTTTTTATGTACTGCGTGATTTTTTTTCCAGTGAGTGTTTTGCACTATATTTATTGTGTAATTCACTGTAATGTTTAGATGTAGTGCGTGTCATATTTTTCAATATATGTATCTGGTGCAGTGCGTATGTTTTCCAGTGTGT